TGGTTCCTGGAAATTTGTTAGAATGGAAAGGCTGAACAGAAATCTGGAAGGTAGGCGTATGCCTTCTAATTCCATGATTATTACATTAGAGCGGTTTTTGAGGGCAGAGAGCTCCCTAATAAGATGAAGATTGGATATATTGCCTACTCAATCCGTCCTTACTCCGTTCCTCCACTGCAGTGCAATGTTACAATTGCCATCGTTATGGACACTCAGCAGAGCCTCAGAGGGATGCACGATGCACCAGCAAGAAGAGGTACCTTGTATCACTCAGCAGTGTGGAATTCCAGAGGGGTAATATATTAACTGGTGAACATAGCAAAACGGGAAGCATGACCTAAAAATCTGGAACGGCCAGCACCCCTCCACTTTCAGTCCATCATCAATTCATCATCACTGGCAACTCTCTGCAAGCTACCACAGCTGTTTCATTGAAAAAAAAACAGAGCTTACATCATCACAGTAACAAGGATCTAATCAATGCTTGAGCGCGTCCAACGTCACAGTCAAATGAATCCAATCATTGCTAGAATGTGTGCAACGCCAGTCACAAGAATCCTATTACCATCAGAACGCGTGCAATGTCACTGCCACTGGAATCCAAACAGTGTTAGAAAGCTAGAATGGACCGCCCCAAATGCACACATTGTTAACGCACTAATGCTAATTTAGTGTGTAATGCTACATTTCTTATTTCAAGCACCTAATACAATAATGTAGTTATGTCACTATTGATGAAAATCGCAAAGAATAACATCTTTACTTTGTACATTCACTCACAAATACATGAAAAACTGCCTATGAATTCATCGACAAATAAAAAACTGATGATAGTTTTCAGCTGCGACTACTCGCGATCAGGATTCAGGAGTACCATCGAAACAATAACAAAGAAGGTAACACGTGACAGCGATAGCTGCGATACCAACAATGTGATATCAATATACTCCGTGAAGAAAAGAAATATTTGAATTCTTCTATATTGTAAATTTTTAGTAACTGACATTCAACAGAATGGTTTAATAACGGTTGTAAATGTTATACATGCATTGCTTGCAGTATCAATCGTGTGCAACGAAGCTGGCGGGAAAAGCTTTTGGCTCAGCCTGGTTAGTTGACTATGTAATATGTTGGCTTGGGGCCAATTGTATCATGTTTATGGGACCAATTCATGTTCCAGCCCATGAATAAGTTTCTTTTTCTATTAGATCCTCCGATTGGCTTCAATTGCAGAAAACAATCATCTGATTTATCTGCTGCCCAAAGTTTATAACTAAATCTCACGGGCTAGCCATGTATATGTCGTAGTATATGACCACAGTTGACTTTCTTCTCTATCGAAAGTCATTGTTTTCACATTTGGTGATTACTGTTGCTACAATGACTATTCTTGATAGGCGAGCAGAATTGCTAGTGGCTGCGTCATCTGAGTTATCTGAATCTCAGTATGTTTTGTTTGTTGCTGCTTCTGTGAAAGGTTCAGTGGCAAATATTTGATCTTCGTGTTATTCTTCTCTCGAAGTCACAATTATTTCATGTGATGATCTGCCAAAATACAATTAGAAAAAAAGTGACTCGTGATGAACAATTGTATAGTGTTCAACATACCTACTTCCAAATATTTCAACTTTTGGGATATATATTCCGAACACCTCTAAAGATAATACGTAGTTCACTAACAAATAACAGAAAAACTGTTGATCTAAGATCTAAATAAATGATTTCTAAGTACAAACAAGTTTTTGAAATACAATGCGTAACTATTCACAAAAAAATCTACTGGGAAAGTAAGATGACCGGAATGCTTACACTACTGCCGACCGGTTCTATTTGGAACCAGACAAAATATTTCATGATCTAAAAGACTTTAGAAACATTATGTCACGTAATACCATATACAGAATTAAAAGTACTCTCTTTATTGATAAAATTCTGCATCTAACTTATAAATAATATATTCTTAGAACGAACTACTTACCTTTCTCTGCAATGATGTCAAGCCCTTCTGTCTGACACCCGGTACTTACAATCTTTTAATGTTAACTGAGCAGGGAGTAGTCGGCGCAGCAGAACCAAACGTTGCCAGAACACGTCCAAGATGTGTATCAAACCTACGCATCCGCTAGTATATTGATTTGACCATACAATTTTATTATGAATCCATTTTTTTCCGCTGGTTCCAAATGGAACCGCTCGGCATTAATGGGTTAACCTAACTGAATTTGATCGGGTTGGATACAGTAAATAAAAGTTAGTTATTTTTATGTTTTACCTTCCCTACATGGATGTCTACTTTAATCTACCAATCTCAAAAATTATCCACATATATATATGAAAAATCAGTCTATTATTTGTATATATATATATTGGTGTATTTAGGCAGAAGCTTTTCTCTTATGCAAGTTTGATTGAAGACCAGAGCATGCTTTTTATTAACAATCTTCCTGTTCGTTTTTTCAATGAGTCGAACCAAATTTCTTGCTGGCGTCGGGAGATCGAAAAGCAGGTTTCCGAATGACATTTTAATAGATTGCAACGTTTCAAAAATACAATTTTCATTATCAAGCTGGTGAAGGTTTTACAACACTTGAAATTCAATTTGGAAATGACAGAAGTACATATGAATGGTATAGTGGATACAATAAAATAAATAATGTGGATACAATGAAATGTTTAAACTTAAAATTACTCTGAAAATAATTTCAGCGTCCGGACGAATCCTGTAGTTTGGAGGTTGATAGCCGGAGACTCGCTCTTGATAATGAGGGCCTCAGCTATCGTCAATCTCGATGGGTCAGGGCACCGCATAACTATGCTGGTGCAGGCCTCCAATGTTTATCAAGAGCGAGTCTCCGGCTATCAACCTCCAAACTACAGGATTCGTCCGGACGCTGAAATTATTTTCAGAGTAATTTTAAGTTTAAACATTTCGTTGTATCCACATTATTTATTTTATTGTATCCACTATACCATTTATATGTACTTCTGTCATTTCCAAATTGAATTTCAAGTGTTGTAAAACCTTCACCAGCTTGATAATGAAAATTGTATTTTCGAAACGTTGCAAACTATTAAAATGTCATTCGGAAACCTGCTTTTCGATCTCCCGACGCCAGCAAGAAATTTGGTTCGACTCATTGAAAAAACGAACAGGAAGATTGTTAATAAAAAGCATGCTCTGGTCTTCAATCAAACTTGCATATATATATATATATGTGGATTATTATTGAGATTGGTAGATTAAAGTAGACATCCATGTTGGGAAGGTGAAACATAAAAATAACTGTGAGCAAACTGAAACATGAAAAAAATACCTGTAAGTGGTAGCTGGTAACAACTAACATGTTGACACTAGTAACAGGCTGAGGTTGACAACATTACACCAAAATCTTTCATACATTTTTATTCTGTAATTTATATTATGTATGTATCATGATGGTTTTTAAATAATATTTAATACTATTAAGTAAAATCTAAAGGCTTTATCTATAAATGTAGCGGTAGCGCTGTAGTGGCAAAACCTCATATTGCTACTTGAATATGTAGCGGGCGCTACCGCTACATTGCCTTATGTGTAGCGCCGCTACTGAAAATGTAGCAGCCGCTACATGTAGCACGCCACTGCCCACCTCTGCAGATAAACCTACTTTTGTGTTGGAAAGAAAACTGCTTGTGAGTTGTGTAAAACCAAGTCCACCATGATAAGCAAGACCAAAGAAAAAAAGAAAGTGGTTATAATAGATACGACCACAGTAAAGAGGTACCACTTAAAAAGATAATGCACACCAGAGAGACACTGTCTGGAGCAGACAATCACTTTCTTTGTGACAGCCGCACAACAAATTGCTGCCATCCATTCTCGTTGATGCCTTGTGGCAACGTTGAGTCGTCGACTCACCGAGGACTTTGCTGCTGCCTGGCCTTACTTCATGATCGGTGAACTGAAGAAATGCATTTTATTGCCTGAATTGCATTTTGCAATTTGGCGCCATGATATCATCCTTTCAAAGCCAATTAGGTATGTGCACAAATGCAAACCATGCTCGGATCACAGCAAAGCTACTGAAATGACGGATACACAGTTTTTGCTTCCTGACGTAAGAGGCATTTAGGACTTTTGTAGCCTTCAGGACTTAAAAGACCTGCCCAACTGTTAGCTTAATTTGATCAATGTGTGTTTGGAAAAATAAAAAAAAAGACTTGAATTATGACCACACGTCACTATGACCACTGTCACTAAAATGTTCCTTCCTGTTTCAGGTATGTTTTTTTACAATCTTTTTTGTTATAGTGAAATCGCTTAACTCGATTAAAATTGGGCAAAATTACAAGCCATCCTGTAAGCTTACAGATTCAGAAGAAATGCTACATGGCTGCTGATATGAAGCTTGCAGTGGACAAGGTCGTTGTTAAGGCTCAATGGCATGTCCGTGGATACAGTAACATCACATTAATAATTCGGTAATGTATGGATAAGGTAATATTATATCAATAAAGAAAAACCAACTAAAATCACAGAAAATGTCATTTATTTTACATTTACATCATCTACAAAGGAAGAAGAGGACTTCAGAGTACTGTTAGTAATAGATGAGTACACTCTGCATGCTTCAAATGTTTTAAAATTGAGTTTTATTTCAAGTGTCCCAGGAGGCTGGGACACTTGAAATAAATAATCCAGGAGTCTTTTATATTGCATCTAGCACCTTACAAATAGCATATGGATTTTTTTGGAGATGTCATACGATAGCCCTTGCATAGACCTTTAAAATGAGCCCAAACTTGTTTGTGAAATGATTCATGGTAAGAAGTTATTAACAAAAAATGCTCAAAACCGTCCCTTATTACCCCGTTTGATGGTATGCATGGAAAGTTTTTTCCTTGGGACAAACTTCATCCAACTCCTGCCATTTCATAACGACTCATGCAGTGGTATAAACTTGCACTAAACATGAGATGCCTTCCTATGATATCATTCATTTAATAATTCTTCATTACAGAATAGAGTTTAGATGTTCTTGTATAATTTAACTCTTCAGCGTGCCTCTGGCATCACGCATGCCGTGCATGGCAACTTCTCGGGGTCACGCAGCCAAGAGCTGGTTGTGTCCCGGGGCCGTTCTCTGGAGCTCCTCAGGCCAGACCCCAACACTGGCAAGGTGAATTTATGATATTTTCGACAATTATTCTAATTTTTCATCAAAACTTGAATTATTAGCAGTTAGCAAAACATACCAAACTTAGAAAAATCATTTTAGCTGCAGTTTGTAACTTAAAATAGTAGGGCTAGAAGTTTTTGCTTCAAAAATGAGTAATAATACAGAAATAACAATCAAATGATAACTAGTATACCTTTATCTCAATATAACATTCTGGAAACCTGGGTCTTCTAAAATTGTTATATCAAATTTAATGAAATGTTGATCTGATGAATTTTCACATGTGGAATCAAGGAATAGCTTTAGATATATACCTACTGCAGATGTTCAATATGCTATCTTCTATTACTAATATGTTATCTTCTATTACTAACATGTTATCTTCTATTACTAATATGTTATCTTCTATTACTAATATGTTATTAATTTTAAAGTAAAGGTTTGTGGCATACCAGTAATTTTAAAGTAAAGGTTTGTGGCATACCAGTAATTTTAAAGTAAAGGTTTGTGGCATACCATTGTTATTGCTGTGTGTAATTTTAATCTTATATCTTATGGCCATGACAAGTTGAATGAAAAAACAGAGTGTCTCCAGTTAGATTTTAATTAAAAATTAGTTCTTGTTATTTTTGTATTTATAGCTGGTTATCAAAATATTGGACTGAATTCTGCTAATTTTATCTTGGCAAATAAAGGCAATGCCATTAGAGTGAAATAAAGGCAATGTCATTTGAGTGAAATATAGTCAATGTCATTAGAGTGAACTAAAGGCAATGCCATTAGAGTAAAACACATAAATTCATACATTGCCTAATTGCCTAATTTTTAGCACATAAAATATGTATTCTTTTCCCTAAGGTATTTTCCCTTTTTAAAGTATTTTTTAAAGTATTTAAAGTATTTTCCCTTTTTCTGTATTTTAAAACTTGTATGATTATTATATATAACTGAAGCCCTACCTAATGTTATGAGGAAAGATTTGCACTGTCATGCTTCTTAATATGACACATATATACTGTTAAAAAAAAAACGGTGAAAAAAACAGTCCCACTGGCGTTCTAGTGGCCGGTCGCCCCGTGAAAATAAACAGTTTCGCCGTTTTTATCAGATGTTTTACGGATTTCTAGCGTTAAATTAGAATAAAAACGGCGACTAGGTGTTTCCTTTCATGTGCCGACCGGCCACTGAAACGCCGGTAATACCGTTAATGCCGGTAATACCGTTAACGGTAATTTTTCTAACAGTGCATACTTAGTATAACTGCAGAAATTAGTACTATAGGTAGGTTGGCGGAATTTGTTCCTATGAGTAGGTTTCATTGAAGACCAGAAAATTTGTTTTATTGGCAATTTCCTTATTAGTTTTATTCATTATATCAAACAATATTTTCTGTTTGCACTGGTAAATAAAAAATCAAGACTTATGGACATTTTTATTTCATTAATGTTTCCATTTACCAGTGCAAACAAAAAAATATTATGCGATGTATTGAAAGAACTGATGATAAATTGTCAATAAAACCTCTGGTCTTCAATGAAACCTACTTAGTATGACATGTATATGTTGGCTCCAAGTACCACATAATTTTTTCTACATGACTAAACACATTTTGGTTATTATTTAAATTTGATTTCCCTTTCAGACTACATTGTGGTTGGATCGGACTCAGGCCGTATTTCTATCCTTGAATACAATGCTGCCAAGAACCAGTTCGACCGAATACACTTGGAAACTTTCGGCAAGAGTGGCTGCCGCCGCATTGTGCCGGGCCAATACCTTGCTATTGACCCCAAGGGGCGAGCTGTCATGATAGGTAAGGGGTTCACATTAACTATAATAACAAGAAGGAAGGAACCATTACCTTGCTATTGATCCCAAGGGGCGAGCTGTCATGATAGGTAAGGTGTTCACATTAACTATAATAACAAAGAGGTAATACCTTCAGTCTGTTGCAGCTTTAAACATTGCATCTTTTTATCTGAAGTGATAAGTCGTCTATTTATGGCTATTGAATGTACCATTATACTGCTGTAGTTCATATAGTATGCCTATTATATCTTGGTATCTTAGCATTTGCTCATCACTATGTTGTATCAGTTAAGCAATAAAGAACAAATTAAGAGATGGCTCGTCTGCTGTCTTTTTGAAATACAAAGTATAGGAGAATTTGATGTAGTACCCCCATCAACCTCACATGATTGCTTGCACACTTATGAGGGCTCTCACATTGCTTTGTTGATATAAATATTTGTGATATTGCCAAACATGTCATAGTTACATATGGTGTTATTGCAGGTGCTGTGGAGAAGCAAAAGCTTGTGTACATCCTAAACAGAGACGGACAAGCACGTCTGACCATCTCATCGCCCCTGGAGGCGCACAAGAGCAACACTCTCGTGTATCACGTCGTGGGTGTCGACGTGGGCTTCGAGAACCCACTCTTTGCCTGTCTGGAAATAGATTATGAGGTAAACACTTATGTTTATGTCATAGATTATGAGGTAAACAAGCAACACTCTCGTGTATCATGTCGTGGGTGTCGACGTGGGCTTCGAGAACCCACTCTTTGCGTGTCTGGAAATAGATTATGAGGTAAACACTTATGTTTATATAATAGATTATGAGGAACACTTATGTTTATGTAATAGATTATGAGGTAAACACTTATGTTTAGGTAATAGATTATGTTTATGTAATAGATTATGAGGTAAACGCTTATGTTTATGTCATAGATTATGAGGTAAACACTTGTGTTTAAGTAATAGATTATGTTTATGTCATAGATTATGAGGTAAACACTTATGTTTATGTAATAGATTATGTTTATGTCATAGATTATGTTTATGTCATAGATTATGAGGTATAGTTTTATCTTGGCAACTACAGTTCTGCAAGTTGGTTGAGAAGCATGTGAATTTATCCAATAAGAAATAAACAACATTATTTCATCTCTTAAACCCAGGAATGTTAGGTAGTTTTTTTGTGTAGTATTCATTCCTTTTCAAATAATGAGAAATTGATTTATTAATTGCTATGAGTGATAGTTGTCTGCTCCATGCCGGTTTGCCACATGGCTATTTTTTGTGGCTATTTTTGGCACATGGCAAAATGTGGCACATGGCAAAATGTGGCACATGGCAAAATGTGGCACATGGCAAAATTTTTGGCAAAAAATGTGGCTATTTTTGCCACATGGCTATTTTGGCTATTCCCAAACCAACCTTTGCTGGCTTGAAACAACTTACCACTTGTTGCAACCAATATACTTAAAATATTTTTTTCTACAAACAAATGGGTGCTTAATAGGATTTAACTCGAATTTGATTGCAAATAGATAACTTTATTTGGCAATTTTTCACATTTTTAGGTCAAAATATCATTTCGTCGACGTCTATAACATTCAAAACCCTAGATACAGCTGTAGTTTGAAGCCATGTTGCTTTTTAATACATGGATCATTTCTGCTACCTTTGACTTTATCCCTTTGATATAACTTTGTTCATAAACTTACTGTCAAGATCAAACTTTGGATGTTATAATGATAAGGGATTTCTTGATTTGTTTGCATTGCTGAATTACTGTAACATTAATTACTGAATTATTGTAACATATTTGTTTGCATTGCAGGAGCCTAACACTACAGTGTGTTGCAGGAGTCTAACATCACTGTGTGTTGCAGGAGCCTAACATCACTGTGTGTTGCAGGAGTCTAACATCACTGTGTGTTGCAGGAGTCGGACACAGACCCCAGTGGGGAGGCAGTACACCGCACGCAGCAGACCCTCACCTTCTATGAGCTAGACCTCGGGCTGAACCACGTCGTCCGCAAGTACCACGAGCCTCTCGAGGAGCACGCAAACTTCCTTATCGCCGTGCCCGGTCTGTTGTGTTGCTAAATTTAATTTATTTAATATTTTAAATTAATATTTAAAAGTTTTTAATCATTTTTAAATTTAAATTTAATATTAATATGTAATTCAAGTACCACGAGCCTCTCGAGGAGCACGCAAACTTCCTTATTGCGGTGCCCGGTCAGTTGTTCGCTCTCATGGCTTGCTGTATTGTGAACTTGCTTTTTAGTGCATTTTCTCATTAATAACTAGCTTTTTAGCGCATTTTCTCATTTATTGAAAAAATGCGCTATTGTACTCGTCATGTCCGTCCGTCTGACCGTCCGTGACTTCACGTTTTTGTCGACGCGAAATGCGCTCTCTGTCACTCACTGCAGTGAGTACCGAGTTATATTTTTTTATTATTAAGGATTATGCCTTCTCAATTATCCGTATTATAACTGCCAGTATTATGACTAGTGCTCTTTTATCCTCTACGATGATAAGTTCATCAATTTCCTGTCATTTTGCTATTTAAAATAAAATAAATGTAAGATCTATTACCATTTGCTTTGACTGGGATATTTACTATATTGCTGGTCGTACATCTAAACAAGTGTTAATATGAGGGACCTTGTTGAACGGAGAGGAATTTATTGCTAATTGTAGGCATGATTATTTCAGGCGGCAACGACGGACCATCAGGCGTGCTTGTTTGTTCTGAGAACTACATCACTTATAAGAACCTGGGGGACCAGCCTGACATCCGCTGCCCCATCCCACGCAGGAGGGTGAGTGTCTTAAGGGACAGTGTCGTGGGTGTACTACATCACTTATAAGAACCTGGGGGACCAGCCTGACATCCGCTGCCCCATCCCCCGCAGGAGGGTGAGTGTCTTGAAGGGACAGTGTCATGGGTGTCAGCTCCCTGTGAAGGTTTAATTAAGGTTTTTTGTAATATAATGTTTTTAAATAGGTTTTTTGCTCTCCCCTGGAGGTTTTTCCCCCACTTTTATACTAAGCTTCTCTCAAGACTAAATTGAATGGAAGTTATTGTTTGTATTTGTAAAATAAGAAAAATAGAATCCATTTGCAGCTGTATATAGCCCTGCATTATGTTTATGTTGATCACTTCAGAACGATTTGGACGACCCAGAGCGCGGCATGATCTTCATCTGCTCGGCCACTCACAAGACGCGCACCATGTTCTTCTTCCTGGCACAGACCGAGCAGGGCGATATCTTTAAGGTTAGGTTATCCTTAAGATGATATCTTTAAGGTTAGGTTATCTTTAGGGTGGTGTTATCTTTAAGATGATATCTTTAGGGTGATGTTCTTCCTGGCACAGACCGAGCAGGGAGATATCTTTAAGGTTAGGTTATCTTTAAGGTGGTGTTATCTTTAGGGTGATGTTATCTTTAGGGTGGTGTTATCCTTAAGATGATATCTTTAAGGTGTTCTTCTTCCTGGCTCAGACCGAGCAGGGAGATATCTTTAAGGTGGTATTATCTTTAGGGTGTTATCTTTAAGATGATATCTTTAAAGTGATGTTCTTCTTCCTGGCACAGACCNTAATTGAACATGGTTGTCAATAGTTGCTGTAACTTGCCCCCAGATCGCAATAATTGAACATGGTTGTCAATAGTTGCTGTAACTTGCCCCCAGATCGCAATAATTGAACATGGTTGTCAATAGTTGCTGTAACTTGCCCCCAGATCGCAATAATTGAACATGGTTGTCAATAGTTGCTGTAACTTGCCCCCAGATCGCAATAATTGAACATGGTTGTCAATAGTTGCTGTAACTTGCCCCCAGATCGCAATAATTGAACATGGTTGTCAATAGTTGCTGTAACTTGCCCCCAGATCGCAATAATTGAACATGGTTGTCAATAGTTGCTGTAACTTGCCCCCAGATCGCAATAATTGAACATGGTTGTCAATAGTTGCTGTAACTTGCCCCCAGATCGCAATAATTGAACATGGTTGTCAATAGTTGCTGTAACTTGCCCCCAGATCGCAATAATTGAACATGGTTGTCAATAGTTGCTGTAACTTGCCCCCAGATCGCAATAATTGAACATGGTTGTCAATAGTTGCTGTAACTTGCCCCCAGATCGCAATAATTGAACATGGTTGTCAATAGTTGCTGTAACTTGCCCCCAGATCGCAATAATTGAACATGGTTGTCAATAGTTGCTGTAACTTGCCCCCAGATCGCAATAATTGAACATGGTTGTCAATAGTTGCTGTAACTTGCCCCCAGATCGCAATAATTGAACATGGTTGTCAATAGTTGCTGTAACTTGCCCCCAGATCGCAATAATTGAACATGGTTGTCAATAGTTGCTGTAACTTGCCCCCAGATCGCAATAATTGAACATGGTTGTCAATAGTTGCTGTAACTTGCCCCCAGATCGCAATAATTGAACATGGTTGTCAATAGTTGCTGTAACTTGCCCCCAGATCGCAATAATTGAACATGGTTGTCAATAGTTGCTGTAACTTGCCCCCAGATCGCAATAATTGAACATGGTTGTCAATAGTTGCTGTAACTTGCCCCCAGATCGCAATAATTGAACATGGTTGTCAATAGTTGCTGTAACTTGCCCCCAGATCGCAATAATTGAACATGGTTGTCAATAGTTGCTGTAACTTGCCCCCAGATCGCAATAATTGAACATGGTTGTCAATAGTTGCTGTAACTTGCCCCCAGATCGCAATAATTGAACATGGTTGTCAATAGTTGCTGTAACTTGCCCCCAGATCGCAATAATTGAACATGGTTGTCAATAGTTGCTGTAACTTGCCCCCAGATCGCAATAATTGAACATGGTTGTCAATAGTTGCTGTAACTTGCCCCCAGATCGCAATAATTGAACATGGTTGTCAATAGTTGCTGTAACTTGCCCCCAGATCGCAATAATTGAACATGGTTGTCAATAGTTGCTGTAACTTGCCCCCAGATCGCAATAATTGAACATGGTTGTCAATAGTTGCTGTAACTTGCCCCCAGATCGCAATAATTGAACATGGTTGTCAATAGTTGCTGTAACTTGCCCCCAGATCGCAATAATTGAACATGGTTGTCAATAGTTGCTGTAACTTGCCCCCAGATCGCAATAATTGAACATGTTTGTCAATATTGCCTCCAGATCGCAATAATTGGTAACTTGCCTCCAGATCGCACACCTTGGAGACGATGACGACGAGCCGGAGTTCAGCTCCATCATGCCCCTGGAGGAGGGCGACACTTTCTTCTACGGCCCCCGCGCGCTGCTCAATCTCGTGCTCGTAGACGAGCTCGACTCCCTCTCACCCATCATGGCTGCTCAGATCGCCGATTTGGGTGAAGTTTGGATTTATTTATTTATACATTTATATAGTGTTGAATCAATCCTTTTACAGAAAACATTATCCTCTTCATTTAATATTACTTGCCCAGATTAATAGTTTTGAATTAATACTTATAAAGTAAACATTATCCTCTTCATTTTATATAACTTGGTAAACGTGGTACAAGATTTATAGTGTTGAATCAATACTTATAGGTACAGATAACATAATCTTCTTCATTTTATATTACTTGGTAAACGTGAATCAATGAAGAGTATAATATTTACTTTATAAATATAAAAACGTGGTACGGCATTACAGCGAACGAGGACAGCGTGCAGGTTTACGCAGCCTGCGGGCGCGGTGCACGCAGCAGCCTGCGCGTCCTGCGGCACGGTCTGGAGGTCGCAGAGATGGCCGTGTCTGAGCTGCCGGGCAACCCTACGGCCGTGTGGACCGTTAAGCGCAGGGCTGAAGGTGGGCAGGCTGAGGCTGGTGGTGGGCAGGCTGAGGCTGAAGGTGGGCAGGCTGAGGCTGGTGTTCCCTCCCGCTACTCCCAACACATCTGAGTTCCTTCCCGCCACTCCCAACACATTTGAGTTCCCTCCCGCTACTCCCAACACATCTGAGTTCCCTCCCGCCACTCCCAACACATCTGAGTTCCCTTCCGCCACTCCCAACACATTTGAGTTCCCTCCCGTCACTCCCAACACATTTGAGTTCCATCCCGCTACTCCCAACTCATCTCAGTTTCCCAGCCCGTCACTCCCAACACATCAGAGTTCCCAGCCCGTTACTCTTCCTTTCCCATGTTCCAGCAGAGGCTCAGAAACACCTCTTCTCATTTGCATGAGGGTCCCATAAACCCGGACCAATTTCCCGACTCTGGTTTGTTTTCATTTCAAGAGGCTAGAAGCAATTAAAAACAAGGCACTTGAACACGCGTTAATGTGCCCATAGCTTTCGGTGGAGCTTGTTACTTCTGGTGGATTCATTTGCTGCTTCAAGTGACCTACCCCCAAGCAAAATCAAGCAAAATCTAACGCAAGCAACGTTTCCGTAAGATTATTATTGAAGTAAGATTATTATTGATATTATTGAAGTGTGAAAACGGTCTTACATTAAGATATTCAGTGAAAATTAAGGCCATGTTTAAGCAGAAACATTTTCTGCGGTAAAAATTGTCAAGGTAATGTTGGCGTGAAAACAAACAAAACGAATACATGTAATGAAGGATGGAAACTGGATAAAGTTCTCAGAAGAGGAAGTCAGAGAGGGAAAAAATGCGAGGAAAGTTAGAGGTATAAAAATGTACAACGAAGTCGTAATTGAACAAATTAGTGTATTACAACGCCTTGAGTTTCACAATAACATACAGGTTGTTGCAGGTCAATGTAAATAGTGCAGTATTTAAATAATAATATCGGATTATTTATTTGAAATATAAAAAAGTATTTATGTAGGGAAGGAGTATGAATGAACTGAAAATTTTGAAGGGCAAAGAAGTAAAAAATAAAGGGTGTATAAATAAGCGCCATAAGCAAGAAAATATAGAGGAGAATAGTAAAGAGATTAACGGGAGTGTGGAAAGGTGGGGAAGAGACTGGGGTGTGGAGGCTGAGGGGAGGTGGGGAGGCTGAGGGGAGGTGGGGAGGCTGAGGGGAGGGGAGGAGGCTGGTGAGAGGGAAGGTGGGCAGGCTGAGGCTGGTGGTGGGGAGGAGGCGGAGGGGGGGTGGGGAGGTGGGGAGGCTGAGGCTGGGATAAGAGGGCTGAGGCTGGGATAAAGAGGCTGAAGGTGGGCAGGCTGAGGCTGGGATAAGGAGGTGCTGAGGCTGGAGGTGGGGAGGTGCTGAAGCTTAAGCAGGGGGGTTGGTGAAGCAGGAGGTGGGTAAGTGGTAGTAAACATATTATGTTATGATCATCTCTGGGCAGACCAATACGACGCCTACATCATCGTATCATTATCTGTGGGCAGACCAATACGACGCCTACATCATCGTATCATTATCTGTGTGCAGACCAATACGACGCCTACATCATCGTATCATTATCTGTGTGCAGACCAATACGACGCCTACATCATCGTATCATTATCTCTGGGCAGACCAATATGACGCCTACATCACATATTATGTTATGATGATCTGTGGGCAGACCAATACGACGCCTACATCACATATTATGTTATGATGATCTCTGAGCAGACCAATACGACGCCTACATCATCGTATCGTTCCCCAACGCTACGCTGGTGCTCAGTATTGGCGAGACCGTCGAGGAGGTCACAGACTCGGGCTTCCTGGGCACCACACCGACGCTCGCCTGCTCCCAGCTCGGCGAGGACGCCCTTGTGCAGGTCTCTTGTGTCTTGCTGTATAGTATACAACCATGTTGTGTTGTATCTTGTGTCTTACTGTATATAACATGTTGTGTTATGTTTATGTTTGCTATATATAACCATGTTGTGTTATGTGACGCCGACGTGATGTTATGTATTGTACACATGTTTTGTGACGCTCGTTCCCAGCTCTGCGAGGACCCCGTTGTGCATGTCTCCTATCTTCTGTAGTGCGCAGGTTTTCCGTCAAATCATCGATAATTCACCTTATATTCTGAGAAATGTATGATAAATCCTTTGTCTAAAGTTGTTAGGCCTTAGTCTGGCGCATATTGGACTGGTGTTCACGTTTTGGAGCCATGGCCTATAACTTCAAAAAAAGTTAAGAGATCGTAAGTTCATCAGCCAATCATTGACGGCCTTTCAAGCAAAATCCACCAATCATAGACAAGAAAATAGAGCGTAAGTAATTACGTTCAATTAGCGAATTTTGAAAGTATCGCCCCAGATCTCTAAAGTTGTTTACTTCACGTCGAAATGCGCGCTATAAATTTTTCGGCATTTGAGCGCAACATGACTCCATCAGAGTAGAGAAGAATATTGCACTGTTATAGTAAGCTGCTTTTCAACTGACCTTTCGACTGGTTAAGATGATAAAATGACTGACGTTATGTCATTGCTGCTGCAATATGCCTGAACAATGAGACGTTATGGCTCTACATTAGACGGACGTGTAAATGCACTACAACGAACATGACACGGCCGTCATAGAAATAAGTTTATTGAGCAGAACATGCACTTACATGTTATTTACAACAGAACATGCACTTACATGTTATTTACAACAGAACATGCACATGTTATTTACAACAGAACGTGCACTTACATGTTATTTACAACAGAACATGCACTTACATGTTATTTACAACAGAACATGCACTTACATGTTATTTACAACAAAACATGCACTTACATGTTATTTACAACAGAACATGCACTTGCATATTTTTTAGAACAGAACATGCACTTACATGTTATTTACCACAGAACATGCACTTACATGGTATTTAGAACAGAACATGCACTTGAATGTTCTTCACTGGACGCTGATTGTCAGCCACTACAACGAACATGACACGGCCGTCCTAGAAATAACTTTATTGAACAGAACATGCACTTACGTGTTATTTACCACAGAACATGCACTTACATGTTCTTCACTGGACGCAGATTTACCCGGACGGTATCCGGCACATCAGAGCGGACCGGCGGGTGAACGAATGGAAGGCGCCGGGCAAGAAGACGATCGTGCGATGCGCTGTCAACCACCGGCAGGTCGTCATCGCCCTCACTGGGGGCGAGATCGTCTACTTTGAGATGGATCCTGTGAGTTGTGCACTGATTATATAAATAATTACTAATAACTAATACTTTGAGATGGATCCTGTGAGTTGTGCACTGATTATATAAATAATTACTAATAACTAATACTTTGAGATGGATCCTGTGAGTTGTGCACTGATTATATAAATAATTACTAATAACTAATACTTTGAGATGGATCCTGTGAGTTGTGCACTGATTATATAAATAATTACTAATAACTAATACTTTGAGATGGATCCTGTGAGTAAATACTTTGAAAATAAATAGTTAGAAGTTGTAACTAAACATAATAAACAGTTAGAACTTATAACTAATACTTTGAGATGGATCCTGTGAGTAAATAGTTAGAAAATAAATAGTTAGAAGTTGTAAGTAAACATAATAAATAGTTAGAACTTTGAGATGGATCCTGTGAGTAAATAGTTAATATAAATATTTAGAAGTTGTAACTAAACATAATAAACAGTTAGAACTTGTAACTAAACATAATAAACAGTTAGTACTCGTAACTAATACTTTGAGATGGATCCTGTGAGTTGTGCAGTGATAAAATAAATAGTTAGAGCTTATAACTAAACATAATAAACAAATAGAACTCTTAACTAAACCTAATTCAGCTATAGAGCATATTATTTCAAGCTCACTTGTAGATAATTGTTTCGAGCACTTACCTAAATCTTATTCAGCTATTTCACACTACATATCTTGCATATTTCATACTACACATGTTTAATATTTCACACCACATTGCTCCCACATTCACACCACATTGCCCACACATTCACACCACATTGCTCGCACATTCACACCACATTGCCCACACATTCACACCACATTCCTCACACATTCACACCACATTGCCCACACATTCACACCACATTGCCCACAGAGCGGGCAGCTGAACGAGTACACGGAGCGCAAGGAGATGAAGAGTGACGTGATCTGCATGGGCGTGGGACGCGTGGCGGCGGGGGAACAGCGCTGTCGCTTCCTGGCCGTCGGTCTGGCGGACACCACCGTCAGGATAATCTCCCTGGACCCTAACGTGAGTGTGTCTGACATCAGCCACCGTCAGGATAATCTCCCAGGACCCTAACGTGAGTGTCTGACATCAGCCACCGTCAGGATAATCTCCCAGGGGCCATACTTTCAAAACTCGCTAAGTGAACGTAAGTACTTACGCTCTATTTTCTTGTCTATGATTGGTGGATTTTGCTTGAAAGGCCGTCAATGATTGGCTGATGAACTTACGGTCTCTTGACTTTTTTGAAAGTATAGGCCCATTACCCTAATTCTAGAATTCGTTTTCTGCTTGCAAACAAATAACACAACAAATTTACTGCATTGACCTCCGGGAATCTTCAACGTCACATGATAAGGTTTCGCCGCCCTGTAATGCATTTAATTTTTCCACTCAAATTCAGTGTAAAAAATAAATTTTTCTCTAGATTATTTAGAAATTTTCACCTTCTTCACTGTATTGTTGAGTATAATTTGCCCAAAATATGTTGAGTATATTTAAAGCATTGAATCGTTTGTTGAGCAGGACTGCCTGACAGTGCTGGGCATGCAGGCGCTACCTGCGCTCGCTGAGAGCCTCAGTATCCTGGAGATGGGAGGCGGTGACGTGGGCGCTGAGGGGGAGACGCTCCAGCCCCAGCACTCGACGCTCTACCTCAACATTGGCCTCCAGGTCTCCTGGTGATAAGACCTTGGTGATAAGACCCAGGTCTTATCACCAAGTTCTTGTAGCGCACTGCCATATTTCTTTGTATTTACGCGAAATTTGCGATGCTGCTGTCACGTTTAGGTCTGAAAAATCGGTATATTATCAAGTACTATGTATGTATTATCACTAAGTCGCACTGCTATATTTCTTTGAATTTACCCAAAATTTGCGATGCTTCTGTCACGTTTAGGCCTTAAATTTCAGTATATTATCATGTTCTATTTATTATCCTCAAGTTGTCGTAGCGAACTGCGATGTTTCTTTGTATTTACGCATAATTTGTGATGCTGCTGTGACGTTTAGGTCTGAAAAATCAGTATATTATCATGTAAAATCAGTAACGAAGCTTGCCAGGGATATGCGGCTGCGATACGATAACAAGAGCGATTATGCCGACGAGTTCCATCCTCTACAGAATGAATTACCTTTATTTCAAGTCAAAAGTCGGTCACGCATAAACCCTAATGTTCTCGGGTGCAAGAAGCGCGCTACCTTCTCCTGAGAAATTAATTCTGGACTTCAATCAATAATGGATATTTTTAATCACTTCTTCCGTCGTCTTCACGTCTCGATTCTGGCTAAATAGAATTTGTATTCTCTCCTACCTTTTTTTCTTACTATTAAACTTCTTCATAGCTCTCTTAATGTGCCAGACGCCAGGATAATGGTTTCACAGAATAAGAATAATACCTAATCATAATATAGTTGTATTATATATGTTATTCGTTTGTGAATTATCACATGAAAGTTATTTGAATTGTTTTATATTTTCCGTGACTGGTGCAGAACGGAGCACAATAATAATCATAATATAGTTTATTTATATAGGTTACTGTGTTGTAAATTATTACATTAAGGTTATTCGATATGTATTTTATTTGCCGTGACTGGAGCTTAATGTTGTGTAGAACGGAGCACAATAATAATCATAATATAGTTTCTTATATATGTTATTTGTTTGTAAATTAATTACATAAAGATTATTTGAAATGTATTATATTTTCCATGACTGGAGCTTAATGTTGTGCAGAACGGAGCACAATAATAATCATAATATAGTTTATTTATATAGGTTACTGTGTTGTAAATTATCACATAAAGGTTATTTGAAATGTATTATATTTACCCTGACTGGAGCTTAATGTTGTGCAGAACGGAGCGCTACTGCGCACAGTGCTGGACTCGGTGACGGGCGACATGTCGGACACGCGGTCCCGCTACCTCGGCCCCAAGCCCGTCAAGCTCTTCAGGATCTCCATGCAGGGATCTGAGGCCGTGCGTTATTTATCTCATCATTTGCCTTACGTTGTGGCATTAGATAATTGTATTAATTGTGTTACGTTGTGTTGCTGCGGTTTGTATCGTGCTGTTGGCTCTGTACTGTATGGCTAGACTGCTATCATTTCTGTGACATCAGTAACAACTGTATTGCCAAATACCGGTCTAGGGAACAGGACTGCACTGCGAGCCATATTTATTCCTTCTTTCAAATATTGATTAACTTATGAATTATTTATCATGCCGTTTGGAGTGTACTTGAATTAGAGCTTTGGGGTGGAAAACCTTAAGATATTTCAGATATTTTTGAACGCTATAATACATACGCGAAGTTTTGAGGTAAGGAGTATGACTATGACAAGCCACAACTAATACAAGATGATAGCTAGCAGCACTATGACAAGCTGTGCTGCTGTCACTACATTACTCCCCCCACAGGTGCTGGCCATGTTGTCGCGCTCCTGGCTCTCCTACTACTACCAGAACCGCTTCCACTTGACGCCCCTGAGCTACGAGAGCCTCGCCTACGCCTCAGGCTTCTCATCAGAACAATGTCCTGAGGGCATCGTCGCCATCAGCGAAAACACGCTGCGTATTCTCGCCCTCGAGAAGCTGGGCGCTGCATTCAATCAGGTAAATTTAGTAGGTACATTGCTAGGCACTGTCTTGTGTGTTATTTGCATTCTAAGTTTTACCGTTTTACGAATCTTCTGAGCCAGAATAGTTTCGTTTTTTTTCAGTTTTTATTTAGACCGCTTCTCGTGAGAAATATTAGCAAATGTAAGCAACCTCTCTAGTACACACCTCGATTACTTTAATACAAGTGCTTTATTTGCACTCTGCTCTCAGGGATCTCACCCTCTCGAGTACACACCACGATTACTTTAATACAAGTGCTTTATTTGCACTCTGCTCTCAGGTCTCTCACCCTCTCGAGTACACACCACGATTACTTTAATACAAGTGCTTTATTTGCACTCTGTGCTCTCAGGTGTCTCACCCTCTCGAGTACACACCTCGATTACTTTAATATAAGTACTTTATTTGCACTCTGTGCTCTCAGGTCTCTCACCCTCTCGAGTACACACCTCGATTACTTTAATACAAGTACTTTATTTGCACTCTGTGCTCTCAGGTGTCTCACCCTCTCGAGTACACACCCCGCAAGTTCGTCATTCATCCAGAGAGCAGCCACCTCGCCATCATTGAGACGGACCACAACTGCTACACGGAGGAAACCAAACGGCAGAGGAAGCTGCAGATGGCTGAGGTTTGCACTTATTTTCATGGTCCCTTGTTATTATGTGCCAGAGTTTTTATTGAAGTTCGTGGAAGCAAGCTTCTGATATAGATGATTTTTATGCGTTATTGATTAGATTTCCCTTATCATTAATTTTATTGCTGCTATGTTTTTCATTGTAGTTGCACCGCAACAGAGTTCTTGTTTCTTACCGTCTCCAAAACTCCATATTAAATATTATAGATTATCATAACTCAACTAATAGATAATGAGAAAAATTATAATTAAAATTCACAGTTATTTACGTATGCATTGATAGCTTACGCCTGATCACACATGATCAAAATATCACAACTTGTACTGATTGTAAAGATAATCAATGTTGAGCCTTCCAAGCAGCAGAAAGCAAAGTAATATATTAGTTTACTTGTTGAAAATCTAGAAGAGAATTTGAACCTTACAGGAGCTTCGTGAGGCAGCGGGGGAGGAAGAGGCAGAGGTGGCGGAGAAGATGGCGGAGGCTCTGCTGTCGGAGCAGCTGCCGGACTCTGTGTTTGGGTCGCCCAAGGCAGGACCCGGCATGTGGGCCTCCCTGCTGCGGGTCATGGAGCCCATCCAGGGCACCACGCTGCACCTGCAGCGATTTGAGCAGAACGAAGCCGCCTTCAGGTGCGTAGCTTTACTTGCCACTAGACAGCGCTTACTCGAAAACTTCTTGTCTATCAGAGCTTTAGTTTATGCTCATTTATGTTCAGTATTGCGGACATTGCACTTACTCGAGAACTTCTTGTCTATCAGAACTTTAGTTTATGCTCACTGCTGCTCAGTATTGCGGAAATTCTCAACTCTTTTTGTGACATTTGTTGTTCTGGCTGGCCATCAACGCGTCCACACTCTCGGTAAAGAGCCTAAAGATATACATGAGGCTCAAAAACCTTCAACAGTGGAAGTAGATATTGAAAAGCAGCAATAATAAATGCTTGGCAATAAGTCTGTGCTAGCTGGCAAAGTAGCTATTGAGGCTCGCGCGGCTTTGAAAAATTTAGATACAAGCCACGAAATTTAGTGGTGTCATTTGAGACACCTCTTGAGTGTAGAACCTCGATGAGTGAGCATCCTCTGGAGACTGAGCTTTAATCTTGCTTATCCCCCAGTGGAATCGAAGTGGGTACCGATCAAATTCCACTTTATTGTTTAACTCCGATTTTGTGTGGACCAAAGCCGGCCACCGGAGGGAGCATGTTATACAATATGCACCTCGACTATCATTTTGATGTAGCATTATGACAGACTAGAAAGCCGCACACCTTGTCTTGAAACTACAGTAGCATGAGGCTTTTAACGCTGTTCATCTTTTAGGTAATCTAAAAGAGATGTGCGTTTGACACTAACGATTTTTTGGTTACCGAATACTTTTTCAGGTATGATTGTTGCTCCTGGCATGCGGCATAAACGGGCTTGATTTGCAGCGTTAGTAAGTCCCCTATATAGACTCACGGTATAATGCGTGGTTTGTTTTGTGCAGCATCAACATCGTGAAATTCATCAATCACAGCGACCCTGACCAGCCGTTCCTTCTCGTCGGCACCGCCAAGGACTACATCCTGTCACCACGGCACGTCGACAGAGGTTACATCTACGTCTACAGGTCTGGCCGTTGTTCAATTGCAAGTTTTACTGTCGACATCAGGGCATGAAACCATGTAACTTACAATATAATGTATTGCACGAATCCATTGCTATTTGAGCTTGAAGCGTTTTAGGCGCTCCCTGTTACGGTTCATCGTTTTAAATGATGATATTAATGATGAACGGCATTCAAGTTTTTATTGGTCCTCATGCGGTACTGCAGTCAAAGTGTACCACGTTTCACTGTTGCTATGATGTATGCACATATTTAGAAAATATGTGCATACATCTTGCTGTATTGGTTTAATGAAATGGCGAAGTTGATTGAACTTGAAAAGCTGTTTAGACTGTTTAGGTGTGTCAAAGCTTTGAATGAATTCTGCGTAGCTTGTTGTGAATATTGCGGTATAATCTCATAACAGGTTCGTGAAGGAAGGCAGCGGGCTGGAGTTGGTGCACAGAACGGAGGTCGAGGACGTGCCCACCGCAATCTGCCCCTTCGGGGGACGAGTGCTCATCGGTGTTGGCAAGCTCCTCAGGATATACGACCTGGGCAAGAAAAAACTCCTCAGGAAGTGCGAGAATAAAGTGAGCTTCTTCTTGAGTAGGGCTTTTACTTCGATCTTATTTACTCTTCAGAAAATATAAAAAACCAAATTACCGGTGACAAAAGAAATCTAATAGAATGGTTTGCGAGCTCCGATTAATTTTGTTGTTTAATTTGCATTTGACAGATATATATAAAGTATGGACTTCTCAATAATCTTTACATTTCAATGCTATATGTACCAAACATTCATGTCCCTCATGCAGTCTTCTGGCGTTGCCTATGCTCGTCAGAAGTTCAATCGGATTCCATTTTCCTAGGGTAATTGTTCCTGACCTCATCGCCACAGAGCTCGCTGGGTCTGACTGCGGGTCTTAGTTACGGGGTTAAGTTGTTGTCTCTTTCTCTCTATGCCGATGTCTCTCGTAAGCGACCGCTTGTAAGAGTTATCTCGTTTCTAACGCTGCTTCTTCCTTCTCAGCCTCAGCCTGCCGGCCATTTGAGACCTTCCTGCCTTTGTGGGTGATGGATGATTTTTGATTTGAAAAGTTTACAATAATTGAGTCATTTCACCTTGCTGGTGTTGTTTATTCGTTACTTCCTGCACGGGATAGCTTGATAGCTAAAACCTTATTAAATCATGTGATAACTAAACTAAACTTTCATGTTCCAAACTAATGTTGAGCCTTCTTAACAGATAACAGATAGCAGATGACAACTTAACCTTCCGTTGAAGGTTTGCTGCTTTACTCCTCTTATGTTTTAACCTAACCTTAGTTTTATTCTCACGTGTCCCACAGCACATTCCAAATCTGATCGTGGATATCAAGAGTCGCGGAGAACGCGTGATCGTGTCAGACGTGCAGGAGTCCGTGTTTTATTTACGCTACAAGCGCCACGAGAACCAGCTCATCATCTTCATGGATGACACAAACCAACGCTGCATCACCACATCAATTCTACTCGATCACGACACCATTGCCTGCGCTGACAAATTTGGCAACATTGCAGTGGTATGTTGTGTGTAGCTTACCAATCAATTTATTTCTGTAACGGTTCTGTTATCGAATTTTTGTTATCATGTTTTGCAATATTGAAAATAAGTGTTGATGAATCATGAAGCATGTTAATAATCAATTTTGTGTTGCAATAAAGTTAAACACAAGAACATCACACATCTCAGATCCGTATTGGAAGTGACGTGTCCGACAACGTTGATGAAGACCCCACGGGTAATAAAGCGCTGTGGGACCGAGGTCTGCTCAATGGTGCTTCTCAAAAGGCTGACGTTGTGGCAAATTTCCACGTGGGAGAGACAGTGAACACGTTGGAGAAAGCAACACTCATCCCAGGCGGCAGCGAGAGTCTCGTCTACACAACTTTGAGTGGCACAATCGGCGTCTTGGTGCCTTTCACCTCCCGCGAGGACCACGAGCTCTTCATGAACCTTGAAATGCACATGCGTTCTGAGCACCCACCGCTTTGTGGCAGAGATCATCTTTCCTTCAGATCTTACTTTTTCCCAGTCAAAGTTAGTATATATTTACGTCGAGCTTTAAGTTTTAGATTGAAACATTGTCTTCTTTCGCTTTCCGCCTTACCATTTGAGTTTTTCTACAGATTAGTTCCACGTTACTTTTTCTTGCCATTGGTGGTAAATAATGTTCTAATTGGTTGAAATTGTTACTTATACTTTTCTAATATTAGTGATATTGACGATAGCTTGTTATTTTGGTACTTCAATAAAATATCACTTGCTGCTGATTACATTACATAGATATGTAATCATAGCTCTGTCGTGCATAATCGTGTTACAATCATAATCATCATAGCTATGTAGTACATAATCATGTACTACAATCATAATCATCATATCTCTGTAGTATATAACTTACTGAATTTCGTAACTTTTTTCCCAGAATGTTATTGACGGCGATCTGTGCGAGCAGTTCAACCTGGTAGAATCTACCAAGCAGCGAAGCATTTCTGATGATCTCGACAAAACTCCAAGCGAGCTTTCCAAAACTCTTGAAGACATCAGGACAAAATATGCTTTCTAAGCAAAAACCATGTACAACTATAGCATTAAAACATTTCTTTCTATTTTGTATTTTATTTTTCATCACGTGACATTTACGAGGCAATAAAAATATACATTTTGTGGGCTCCTTCCATATTACATGATTGTATCCAAACAAATGAATTATCTGGATTCAGTTGTTGTTACACCTAACTTGTTACCATGAACATGAAGAACAAAATGTTTGTATCCTCTGCTCCTCGCAATTTTTGCGAGCGATGAACATGAACTCTAAAATGTATTTCAAAGATTTTTCGACAGTGAAGACATCTTTCTTTGAGACTTTCCTCCTTGCGATTGTCAAATAATAAATTGTTTAGAGGGTTGCGAAAATGAACAATTCGAATAGATGAGCTAGTTTTTCAATAGAGAAAACCATAATATATTTGAAGTTCAAGTACCTAATTGCGGGGCTTTGATGCATATTGAATGACGTTGGTTTCAATGTTAACAGGTAAATTTTAAAATGCAGATTTCGGAATGAATTACGATTGATACTGGTATGAATTGTACAAGCATGCATTGAAATAATAATAATATCGGTTTCAGCGTTTATTCGGCATGGGCCTGTCGCCGACTCTCAACATCGCAGAATCTTCGTAGCTTTTTGCGGTCTCAGACACGCAACTCGTTCTTTCAATTTTGCTGTGCTTAACCGCCCGGCCTCCTCGCCGTTCTGACCAGAAACTGGCGCACAGTGCTGGGATCGAACGCGCACCTCCATGCTCCAATCATCATACTCTGAACTGTAACTACTGGTTACAGTTCCGAGTAGCAAGAAGGGTGTAATACAAGAAAGTTAGTAGGAAGTCTCATTTGTTGTAGAGTCTCGCTAAATTTAAGCACGCTGCTTCAACTTAATCGTTGCACAACAGCTCCTGTGGTAGAATGGCTCAGTCGGTGCACCCACCCCGAATGCAACAACGCTGACAGCAAATTTATTGAATTCCAAGGGAACCCCGAACCCTTTTAATAAATTAGTTTTGGTCACGATGGTTTGCATAGTGCGCTCTTCTATTAAAGCTGTTAAAGAAATAAATACCAAACCCGACAAATATCTAAACATAGTATAAGCGAAAATCGAGGAGAAAATCCGAAGTCCTAAAATTCATTTGAGATTTCTCGGGATTTAAGCATCAAAAAGAATTGCTATGACTTTTTTTATTTTATAAGGGCTTAGAGCCAACTTTTTATTAAACAATAAAAAGAAAAAAAACACTCACTGCACAAACATAATATAGTATGTTTTAAGTTCATGGCTGTGATAGGCAGCTCTATTCTATTGTTTTGAAACAAATTATTCCCCTATTACAAATGATTTAGAAGAAAAGATGAATGTCCCTATTATAAGAAAGAAATGTCATCTTCCTCTTGTCGGCTTTCCATCGGACCGGAGACAACCTTCCTCTATGACATGGGACTGAATACTGATGATAGTGAACGTTGTCCAATTGGGGGACAACCCCACATCCTCAATAAACAAATAACGTTGTCCAATACAAGCTCTCAGCCTCTCAGGACCAACGGGCAAAGGTCGTCCTCGAGGTCGACCTGTGGCTTTAGTCTACCCAGTGTCGACACCTCGAAAAGAAGAAGGTAGTGAACGTTGTGTTGGTCCAGTCGGGGCAGTCCCAGTGTACACATAACATAGGGATCTCGGCGCTGAAGTGTAGGCCTGATGTGGCCTGGCGCCGATTCTTTTTCTTTTCGTGCCTTGTTCACAGAAGATCTAAATTCCAAAATCGTGTCATTTGACCGGATCTTTTCACGACTGACGATAGTTTGAAGTAGCTGCTAGTGCTAGACTTCCAGTCTTCCACCGAGTTCGATAAGGTGCTAGGCATTTCAAATCTGAACATTTATTTTTCCATAGCTTTATCTACCTAGTAGGCTAGTAGTCTGTTCTTGAACGCGTTCATACTTGGATCCCATTGTACAAGTTCTTGTAAGAAGTAAATGATTGATTTTTTTGTTTGCAAATTGCTGTTTTCTCCATCCCCTGCAAATTAATTTAATTCTGAATTGCAAGTAAATTAGCGATGCCATGCGGTTACTAGTGACGAATGTAGGTAATGAATCAAATAAGAAATAGCTTTTCAAATAATTCGGTAGCTACATGTTAATTATGTTGTAAACTTGTAAGGAGAGGCTTGGTAAGTTGGTTCCACTAAGTTTAATAGCCTACTGATATTGAAGAGGTTTGCAGTATGGCTTTGGTTTGTTATATAAGGAAATTTTAGCACTGCTAGTGCTAAGGCGCTAACAACAAACTAAAATGCGGATATGCAACATAGCACATGATGAAAGGGGATTATAGTAGGGTTGGCTAATGACAGGGTTGCCTGCCAATTTGCCAATTAGAAAGAGTCAAAGGCCATCTGCCCACCACAGGCACATATGCCCTGCCCCTGGATCATGCTGGATATAATCAAGTTAATCAAATATGAACTAGCTAATCATTGTAATGGACCATCTTGATTCCTGGCTCCTGCCTTCCGCTTCTGGAATGTAGCTTTCAACACTTCTGGACAATCATATAGCCAGGCTGGGAGGTGGGAGCCAATTGCCACCAGTGACCAGTCTACCAGACAGAATCATGAATGAATCAATTAAATTAGATAGAATGGCCTAGCATTGTCTGCCGAACCATGAAAAAATTCTGCACCACTAGGCACTCTGAAGTCTGACGTAGCAAATAATAATCAGAATGGAATTCTAAGACTAGTGGTTTACTTAAAAAAAGCATTCCACCCTGTGACCCTAAAAGAAAATGTTCCATGCAACTAGAAACAGGTTTGCAGCCAATTGCACTTTTGCAGGCTATAAAAAATGGCTTTGGCATGAAAAAAATGTCAGGCAACACAGAGAACGTTCAACGTCCCACTCCCAACATTGTTGATTGTGCCTGTTTTATTTATTTAAAAAACATTTAGCTATATCACCTATTTATTGCATCAGCTTTCAAACTGAGGAGAAACTTGTTGGCAATTGGAGGAACTTATCGAAGAAAAGGCAATGCAGTACATGACAATTGCATGACTCAGTTCAGTTGACTCAACTGACTAGATTAGACATTAGAGTACTAAAAAATTTAGAATTCAAACCTCAAGATTCTGTGAATTTTGATTTCTTCATTATTAAAACTTTGGAAGGCTCACAATACCGGTATATCACATATATAAAGTTTTCACTCGATTATCGTCTCAAAGTTTAGGAGCTTTATCTGCAGTTAATGTGCATTAGTTACCTCACCCACCGGGCACTGGTTGCATAATGAGAACTAACCAGCCACTAACCATCATTAGATTCCTGCCACCTTGTCTGTTGCACATGATTGATTCTCCATGCATGCATGCATGTATAACATTTATGAAGGTTATTAAACCTTTCTGTTGAATGTCAGTGACTGATAAATTTGTAATGTGGAAAATTTGTATCTATCATTTTTTCACAGGAGTATATTGATGGTTGGTATCCCTGCTACCTTCTTTGATATTGTCTTTTGTTTGGTTGGTATTCCTGATTGCAATGGAAGGAGTTTTCATGTCTCAGCTTATTGCACCAGTGATCAGTTTTGTATTTGTGGATTGAATCATCGGCAGTTTTTCATGTATTTGTGAGTTTACCGAAGGTTATTAAACCTTTCTGTTGAATGTCAGTGACTGATAAATATACATTGTGAAGATGTTATTCTTGCGATTTCCATCCAATAATGACATAACTACATTATTGTATTACGCACTTGAAATAAGTGTAGCATTATGAATTAATTAGTATCCATGCCTTAACATTGTGTGCATTTGAGGCAGTCCATTCTAGCTTTCTAACGCTCATTGATTGGATCCATCATCCTTGTTACTGTGATGATGTAAGCTCTGTTCTTTCTAATGAAACAGCTGTGGCAGCTTGCAGAGACTTGTCAGTGATGATGATCAGCTGAAAGTGGAGGTTTGCTGGCCTTTCCAGATTTTTGGATCATGCTTTCTGATTTGCTATGTTTACCAGTTAATATATTACCCCTCTGGAATTCCACAGTCCACACTGCGTAGCGTGCCGGAGCCTTGCAGCAAATGTCATATCCACCACCAAGCTTTCCATATCTAGGCCATGCGTGGTGGATGGTGCGTTGAACCAGCCCTCAGTCGGATGGCCACTCTTTGAAGGACAATGAATTTTGGAACAGAACTTCAACTATGCTATCTGAAACCTAACCTCAGATGCGGTGAATGTAAAATTACATAATTTAACGATGCCGGGAAGTCATTCGATCCACTGTCTGGTGGTGCATGGCAGGTTTTATGCAAGGCCAGAGGAGGACAAAGCCAAAAGGTTGCAGCCTTGAAGGCTGCTGTGCGTAAGTTCAAGTTTGAGCATTGGACCGGTGGCCAGGGTATGAAGTGATGCTTCAATGCAACATTCAGTGGTGGACAGCCATTCAACTCTATCTTGGTTATTTGACCTTGTGTCTGGGGGTGTAGAGCTCAAAATATTCAAAGCAGAATGATGGCAAGGGTTGGCTACAGATGGCAGGTTCCATTCACAGCTGATTGGTGGATGTCCGGACTCCAGAGAGATCCAAGGCATTCAATTCAGGGATTATTGGTTCACAAAATTAGTAGTGCATGGCTGCGCTCCCCTAATGATGCATATGGTAGTGATAGTCCACACTCCAAGTTAGCTAATGATGCATAGTCCACACTCCACACAACATTATGATAATCCAAGATATAATTACCAGGATATTGGTGAACTGAAGCCCTCATTAGATGTAACAGCACAATTACAGTAAAGCCTTCCTACAGTATAATGAATAAAAAATTCAAAGTCCTAAATGATAAGATCAATGTGGTTCAGTGTCATGTGCAAGTAAAAACATATATTCAAAAGACCATAAGTAAGAGGTCTCTAAATACCATGCCAGAGACAGCCATACAGGCAATGAGAAAATCAATCTATCAATCACAGTTTTTTTAAGGATGAGTTGATGAGACACCCAAAACACCAGTTCTCTTTTGCCCCATTTGTTGTTTCTAGAACATCCTAGGCCAAATAAAGCTGGTTTGATGTTGTAGGAATGGATATGTGGTTTATATTTTCTTTCCATTTGTTACTCAGATGCATTACATTTTCAGATACCCCAATCACAAATGATTGTTTGTTTTTGCATGGTAGTCTTGTTTTGTATCTTGAGTAATGTAATAACAGCTCCTTTTATTGTTATCAATGTTTTTTTACTGTATCCAGATCTCTAAGAATGATGGCACCATTTCATTGCTCATCAGTCCCTTGAAATTTTTTAACTTTTTTGTATTTATTGATTGTGTGTTTTGCTTATAGGAGGTTAATTAAGATATCCAGATCTTCACTTTCTTATTTGGTTCTCAGAGTTTTGATTTTACTAAGAACTCCCGCATGTTTTTACAACATTTGTAGGAGATGGTAGGCTGAATCGGGAAGAGTGATTGAAGATCCTCTTCTCCTTTGATATGGTGCCAACGCTTCAAAAGGGCTCACCTCAGGTTGTTTTTTTAACAGGTTGCATTGTAGTGACTTTTCTGATTTGATTTTTCCACTTGGGGCATCTTTAAGTTGCACCAAGAAAAGTGTCTTACTATAGCCTCTTTGTCTTAGGTGTTCGTAGAAGATTAGGATATGTAGTTTCCTTTAAGTCCAGAACATTGTTGCAGTTCCATTTGTGACTAAGTATGGTATTTTGCCCTTTGCAAAACCTTTCAGACAAAATAGGGGATGGGCCTCAATATACCGAAACGTTTTTGCATCTTTGAAGTAAGTTTTTATGTCCATAATATTGTTAATATATGTAGAAGTTCTGTCCTTAATAAATTGCGAGGCTGCTAAACTCTATTTGTGGCTAGGAAAGTGGAAATTTTCCACACTACTATAGTTCATGCTGAGACTATGAAAAAACTTCTTTATTTTTCATTTCTACTATGCATGAACACCACCAAATTTTTTATGCTCCCCAAATCCTGGTCATGCCATGAAGCCCATGCTCCACTGCAAGGCGCCATCCGAGCCAGCTTTGACCAAAGTTGTGCAACCTGGAGCATGTTATGCCAACCTCTAGGCACTCAAGCAGAATATGTTTGTTAGTTTGGGTAGTGTGTGACACTGGGTGCATAGCTTTGACCAAAGTTGTGCAACCTGAACCCAACCTCTAGGCACTCAAGCAGAATATGTTTGTTAGTTTGGGCAGTGTGTGACACTGGATGCATAGGTCTGAATGGATGCTGTCTAGGTGGTGTTTGTAGGTGTATAGTGAGGGATGGTGGCAGCAGCTTATTCTGCTCAGGTGCATCTTGCCTGCATGGTTCACCTGCTGTTCTGTGTGGCTAATGTCTGGTAAAGTGCCATATAATATATTGTTGACTGGTGGATTTGAGAGTGCATTCCATGTGAGATGTGTGTCCATTTTTGATGAAGTTGGCTGGTTCTGTGGGCAGGAGTTTAGAATAGTATCTTCGGCATTTAAAGAATAGGCCTGGATAGGCCTGTCACCAATTCTTGTACTTTTCTTGACTAGACTCGCCTTTTGATCAGATCTTTTCAACGGACGGTAGATATAAAATTGGAGTTAAGTAGTGTGAGGTAGTAGTTGTATGGAGCAAATGTTGCTCACCTCTTTGACTTTTTCTTGATGTGAATTTCCAGGTTTGTAGTTATATTTACATATTCACAAAACTGAAGAATATGTTTAAGTAAGAGTCATTAGTTGAAAAATTATTTTAAAAAACTGGTCTTTAAACACTGAAAGTCTGAAAAAAAAGTTGTTGACCTTTTTGTAAACTTCAAATTTTATTTTGAAGTTTTTATTTGATTTATTTCCCCCCAAAAATGGATAATACTCAGGGAAATATGGTAAGTTATATCTCTGAATTGTCAAAGTGATTATAGTTAATATAAGGAAAATAGGAACTACTTAACATTATAATTTAAAGTTATCTTGTTATAATGTTTTTATTTTATTTCCATTATTATTCCTAGAGCTTTATTGTGTGATTTATATATAGGGTATTCATTAAATTCTGTGAAAAGATAGTGTTATTTTTATTACCAATATTCTTATATTATATTTTTTCCTGGAGATCAAGTATGCTTTGTTGAATACATCATAAGTTGAGGGTGGATTTTAAATTGCTTGAGTGCTTTCTTACTTTGTTTTATATAACAATTCACCATGCAACTCAATAAAAATTGTGATGCAGCTTCAAAACTTGAAATGCATAAGTGTTTGAAATTGTCAGCATAAGTGTCTATAATTGTCAGCATAAGTGTCTATAATTGTCTGCATAAGTGTCTATAATTGTCTGCGTAAGTGTCTATAATTGTCTGCATAAGTGTATATAATTGTCTGCATAAGTGTCTATAATTGTCTGCATAAGTGTCTATAATTGTCTGCATAAGTGTCTATAATTGTCAGCATAAGTGTCTATAATTGTCTGCATAAGTGTCTATAATTGTCTGCGTAAGTGTCTATAATTGTCTGCGTAAGCGTCTATAATTATCAGCAGGATCTGAGCCATGAAGATGTATGGGATGACACTTTACTGATCCAGCAGTACGACTCAAGCATGGAACAGCTCAGGAAGAAAGCTGCTCTTCAAATTCCAATTTCAAAAACATCTCATAATTCCTCAACCAGCCAGGTTAGTGCTAGTGAGTGTTAATGACTGTCAGCAAACACTCCCAGGTTAGTGCCATGGAGTGTTGGTGGCTGTAAGCAAACACTCCCAGGTTAGTGCCATGGAGTGTTGGTGGCTGTAAGCAAACACTCCCAGGTTAGTGCTAATGAGTGGTAATGACTGTAAGTAAACACTCTCAGGTTAGTGCTAATAAGTGTTAATGACTGTCAGCAAACACTCCCAGCTTAGTGCTATGGAGTGTTGGTGGCTGTAAGCAAACACTCCCAGGTTAGTGCTAATGAGTGTTAATGACTGTAAGCAAACACTCCCAGGTTAGTGCTAATTAGTGTTGGCTGGCATTGGCAGTAAACAGTTCCTAATTACTTGTTTATTCATGAGAAGGTGTCTGCCAGTTTCTGATAAAATATTTACTTAGCATTCATTTGCAGAATTTTGGATAGAGTAGCAGTAGATCATGAAAATCTTGAAACCAATAATTTAAAAATGTCTTATCCATTTATTTACAACCATCTTGAGCCCAAAGGCTGCTAATGTCTTACTTGGGAAATATTCACAATCATTATTCATGCTCATGTTCATTCATAGTTACACATTTGTCACATGCTAGCAAAGTGAGGCATGTCACCCCTGCCTGAAATTTTCAATACTTCTTTCTGTGATATGTGCATAGTAGGTATATCCTGGCTAAAATATCACCATACCAGTACTCATTGTTTTACCTTGTGTTCTAGTTTCATGATTGGTTTTATTTTTACCTAAATATTTGCTTGATAGGCTGGAAGCAGCGGAATGTTCTCATCAGTACCCTCAGGAGTGAAGAAATTTCAACCAACCAAAAAGGCTCCAGCTAAACCTCAGGTGGGACACATTTTCTTGAAATTTGTCATATTATTGATTCCCTTAAATTTTGTACTCTGTATTGTGTTCATTTTGCTATGAAAATCTTCAACTCTTAATGACTTACAGGTGTAAATATGATGTGTAGAAGATCATTTTTTTGTCATTAATAGGCTTGCAAACCCTTCTTGTTCTTAAATATGAAAAATCAATGAGCAATCAAAATACCACTTTAAATAATGTTAATGTAATAAATTCTAGAAAGGAATCTGGTTTAACCTGAATATGTTGGCATGAAATTCTTTTGTTGTTGGCAGTGTGGATGTCTATGGATCAATATGTATATGTTTGTGGACCTCAGCTCCTATTTTGAGTGTTCAAAGATTTTAAAGCGTTCTTTAGCACCAGAAACACTGCTCTTGATTGATAGGCAAGTCAATGATCAGTTGAATAGAGAAAAAAACTCTCCAAGAAGAAGCAGTTATTTGATTATCTGGCAAAGTTTTTCTTCTCTCAATTGTAAATGTTGTTCCCAAATAGTTTTTCTGTTGTTGAAATGTTCAGCAATATATCATGACAACTATCACCTTCAACATTCCATTGTAGAAATAATAATGAAAAGTTATTAAAAAAATAATACCTCATTCCATTTATTTATTTTTGTTTAATTCTAATCAGTGGCAAGTGGGCGCAGCTTGTCGTTGTGAGTTCAGCGAGGATGGCAAAGTGTACGAGGCCACAATTGAGGCCATCACTCCAAGCTCCAACCTAGCCACTGTTACCTTTGTAGGATATGGCAACTCAGAGGATATTCCTCTCAGCAAACTACTCAGGTTAGTGCTAGGTGTTTATCATTCATTTCAAATGACTATCTCCATGATCAATCAATCTCTTGCATTTTGATCAAGAATGTCATGTAGACAATTGTTGGACTTGAGGACAAATTAATTTGATATTTTTTCTCATCCAAAGAAGTTTCTGCAGCCTATTTTTCTTTTTTTCTATTTGAGGCTCGCTAGTTAATAGAAGGGTTTCTAATGTTCTTCAAAGTGTGTCATGCTCTCGACCAGCATCATTAAGGGCTGAAGGTCAGTGCAAAAGACAGAGGCAGTTGGCCAATATATCAGTGGCCTGAGGCAGTTGGCCAATATATCAGTGGCATGAGGCAGTTGGCCAATATATCAGTGGCATGAGGCAGTTTACGTATGAAAGAATCATGGAATAGCACAAAAAAGTCTACCCTAATGCAAGCATCAAAGCAGCAATACTGGCGTCTGTGGAGCCTTTATTTCTGAGTGCAATTGTATGTCATTCCTCATGCATTTTGTTCATACCAATTATGCCTCTTTGCATCATTACATAACAGGCTTCTACATTTGTTACTAGGTATTCTAACTTCCATCACATCTTTCCTTTTAATATTCATCACCTCCCAATGAACTTAATCTTTAATGTTCTTTGGTTCTTTTAATGTGCAAAGACGTTTTATTTTGAAATGAATATATTTTAGTCTATTAAGATATTTTAATGAATACCCTGATGGCAGAGTATTTGACCTAGAATATTTTATCTATTTAGGGAAATTCATGTATTTTTATTGGTTCTACTTCAAGAATAAATAAAAGTGTGTTACGTAGATGACCGATCTTGAGGTTCGACCGCACGTCAACTCATTCCCAATTCCAAATCCTTGCACCATATTGCCATTCAAATGTTTGGTTATAAGCTTTTTGAAGTTTCTTTATGTCTTCATTTGTTTTCATGTATCCATTTCCCTGCAAGGTTTCATGTTTTTTGTCCCAGCTATGACAAAATCATTTGTTTATAAATTAATTTAATTTAATAATTAATTATTTGTATCAATATATTCTCAGATCAAAAGGAGCAGCTGCGCGTAGACAACAAGAAGCTAATGCTGCTCAAGATAACGACTATGAAGAAGAGGAAGAAGAAGAAGTAGAACTTGTGAGTGCTGAGTACACTTGTCTGAGTGACCATAGTGGCAAACCAGAGCTTTTTTAGAATCAGTTCATTTTTAATTTCTTCATTTACTCAAGATTCAAACCAATTTCTTAAGTACGAGTACTGGTCTACTTATAAGACTCAAAAATGAACTTGAGGGAGAGTCTAAAAAATTCTCTGCTTTGGCAGTACACTTGTCTCTATGTCCCACAATTTCTCTACATTTATCAATCAGCTCTTCCTTGTTGTTTATTATTTATATTAATTATATACTCATGATCTTTATACAAGAAATAAGGGATGCAAGTGTCACCACCCAGCCATTACTCTTGGCCTTATAACAAATAAAATCAGACATGTATTTGGCTCAAGAATAGAATTGGGAACCAATTAATTACCTATGAAAGAGTAAAGCCCTTCAAACAATGCTGAACGGAACAATTTTTTGGTATTCGCAACGTCTCGTCATAATTTATTTTGCTGTTGTCATCGTAGAGAGAAGGACCCAGTTTTGTTAATTCTCAAAATTTATTTTATTCGTTAAGAAATTAAAACAAACCGAGTCCCACTTGTCTTTAAATTTTTCCTATTGGCGAAGGCTCTCTTGGAAATTGTTTTCTTTGAATGCAGCTTTCACTCCTAATGAGTCAATTTCATGCAAAATACTTACAGGGCTATTTACATCTACTTCCTTACTGCAGAACTCTTTTCTGTTATGGTTTAAAATGAATGCAAATATTGATGAATAATTGATGACGTCAGGAGAGCGGAGTGGGCGAGGACGAGAGCAGTGACTGCAGCAGCAAACTCACAACCCCCAAGAGCCGCTCGAGCAGAAGAGCAGACTCGGCCCACGTGACGAGCAGCAGTACAGCCACGAACAGCAGGCACAGTTCCTTCTCCCGCCTGTCCATGCCGGTCAGAACTGCTGTAGCTGCTCTATATTAGACCCTGTATAGTGGCTGCTCCTTCTCCCGCCTGTCCATGCCGGTCAGCACTGCTGTATCTGCTCTATTTTAGACCCTGTATAGTGGCCGCTCCTTCTCCCGCCTCTCCATGCCGGTCAGAACTGCTGTATCTGCTCTATTTTAGACGCTGTCTAATCCCTCTATTTCTGGCAACAAGATAATATAAGTTCCTTGACAGGACGGTGGAGGCGTGCTACCAGATTTACCACCACCTCCTCCACTGGGCATGTCATTCTCTGGCCTGGAGGACAGCGAGATGCTGCATACCTTGCTCATGAGCTGGTACATGACTGGCTACCACACCGGCTACTACAGGGGCGTCAAGATGGCCAAGCACAGACACCGACACCACTGATAGGCAGCACAGCTTTATGACATATGGGAAATGATAACGAATCATGTTTAGCAGGGCGTCGGATGTCTTGTGTGCTTCAATGAGCTTCAGCACATGGACACACTGAACAACCTCCCGCGAACAACTTTTTAAATACTGAGCCTTTGGTTAATGAAAAAGTTTAGTTTCTTTTCTATATTAGGATAGTGCCCTGTAGCGAGAGTGACCGACTTGTAGTGAGAGTGACCGTTGTAGTATATGACAAGTGTGACCGACATTGTATTTATTCATTATTCTAAGTGTTCATCTCCTTTGAATGTCTCATCACCGTGGTATCCACTATGTGTGACTGAATAGCGATAAAATGTGGTTTCTCTGATGCGTTGTTATCAGGACATTCACAAATACTTATTGGGAAAGTTTTTTTTTTTTTCTTAAAGAACGTAATGCTTTTTATTAAGCTGACATCATTCAATACGATAGGCACTCAAGGCTATAATTTCGCTGTCTGTGTTCATATCTAATCTGTCTATAGGAAGATTACAACAAACCTTAGCCGAACATTTTAGTGTATTTTTCTATGCACTTTGAATAAATTCGCGCTCATACCGTAAGAAACCATTATCATTGACACAGCGCATCTCGTTAGTCTCTGTTCTTATTTTATTTTCTGAAGATGAGGAAATCTGAGCCTCTTCGTTTTAAGGTTCCATGCTTTATGCCTTCATCGTGCGTGGATGACGTGTGTGTCACGAGGATGACGTGTGTGTCACGAGGATGACGTGTGTGTCACGAGGATGACGTGTGTGTGTCACGAGGATGACGTGGGTGTCACGTGGATGACGTGTGTGTCACGAGGATGACGTGTGTGACGCTCTTAATACGATTGAGACACGTTACAAGGTTACAGGAGTCTCCTTTGATTTTCAGCGAATAAAATGTAGTGTTTTTGCTTGTAAAGAATAATTTTAATGCTTTAAAATGAAAACATATGTTTCCTAGATATGTGATCTTAAACCTTTTGAAATATTTCCTAATGCTTCTGGAACCGGCAAGGCCCTGGAGACAGCTGTTTTAAATGCTTGATCTAGAAATCAATTCGTATTTAATGGCATAGCTGACGTGTCACAAGCACTACTCAAGTACATACTAGGCTTGTGCTTCACCAAAAATTACATACTAGGCTTGTGCTTCATCAAAAATTACATACTAGGCTTGTGCTTCATCAAAAATTACATACTAGGCTTGTGCTTCATCAAAAATCATATACTAGGCTTGTGCTTCCTCCAAAGTTACAAGCGTCCAAGTAGAAAATCTCACAGATTGTTTAGGAAGTTCAGAGCCAACAACAAGGTGGATCGATTGCAATTAGAGCAAATTGTTGCTTTACTCTTCTAAGATGCTGTAGTACGTGTTCAATCTTGAATTGCCATGCAGGATTTACCTGACCTTAGTTCACAATTCCGGTCTTCACAACAAGTTAAACTCTTCTGCTTGATCTGACTCCAAAAGATCTTGATATAATAATTAGTCAGTCGTCAAGGATACAAAACTGATTTACACCAATTATTTCTTTATTTCACTCAAATTTTCAAGCTTCCCAAAAGATGACCATGGAATTTAATATTGTCGCTTGCAACGTTGAAATTTTGCAATCGTGAAAATCGATTTCGACTGGAAATAAGAGCTACGGACGGTAAACTAGCTACGAAAACGCGCTGCACTCGAAAATTATAGGCCACAAATAAATATTGGACTACCAAAATATCAAGTATAAATAAGACTCTACAAACTCCAAAACTACAACGAAATCAAATCTCAGAATATGACTTAAATTTAGGTGCATTAGTACGCGTTCGAAGTTATTAGTGCGGAAATTAATATAGTTTGGCAGAATTTATTCCGTTAGGCAGGTTTCAGTCAATTATCGTCAGTAAAACAAATTCTCTGGTCTTTAATGATACCTGGTAAAACTCATTCTAAACTATCGTTATTACATAACATATTACATATTGTGAAGTGCAGCACGATAGTTGCAGAGAGATGCGGGCTCGAGCCCTATCTAGCTGCGATAATTTCTAGTCAATTTCGCGAGGTTTCGAGTGTGGACACAAGACTGGTAGTAGTGAGTTGCAACTTTAATACTCAGCTATCGTGACAAAATCGAAATTCGTCTTTAAATTATAATTTTATTCTTTATGATTACGAAATTATTTCTAACGACAAGATCTAAACAGCATAATTCACAGCCATTTAATATAATGCACTATTGTCATGTGAAGCCTCTTAGGGTCATGGATGTAGCTGATGCTCTCCGTGTAAAACGTTTTTTATACGTGAAGAGCTTTAAGCTTGTCTTAGTCATTTCAATTCGGATTTGCTGGCTTCATCTTGACTGTGAACTTCATGAGCAAGGTAATTCTCGAGAGTCTGAGCTTATGCGATGCCGTTCGAACAGATACAAACAAACAATAGAGTTGAAATTAAAAATTGTTGTGCTGAATGTAGTTCCGCAGCCTGCGCCATCCAGCGGCAGGGTTTTGAGGTCGATACATGCGTGCCGATATCACTACCTGCGCGCCTCTAGCGGTCAATGAAATCAATATACTTAAAAGCCGAGACTAATGGCTCGTGTCTAGCGCCCCTACGGCCCAGCGATAAAGCGTGCCTTCAGTTCATAACAATACGGTGGTTCATTGCAAGCCTGACGCGAGGTGAACGCAATTTCCATGTTCTTTGTTACAGGCGCTTGGCATATGCTTGGAAACATGAAATCGAGAGTACAAATTACATTTCTGTAGTGTCTGAATTGTTATGCATATTTGTCAGTTCTCATTGCATTCTCTGAGTTTGCGAGCCGAGAAAAGCTCTTTTAATCCTTTACGTTTACAATTATCTATAATAGAAAAAAAAAGCCTCAGAGATTTCAGCTAATCAACTATGAGATTGCAATTTCAATTGTTAGTTTATAAAATGGATTAGTCGTCAATCCCTCATGGCAACTAGCTCCATGTGAGCATTTTTCGTTGAATCCGCATCGTTCCTAACTCATTTGTGTGGGATAACTAACTCCAGTATAGGCAATTTTTCTTTGTAATTTAGCAATAATTATTTACCGCAGTAAGAATATTATTAATTCACTTAAAAAAGTACGAACTTTTATGCTTATTACTCTTCCTCTAAAATTAACATTACAAGAATATGATAAATTACCGCTGGTTAAACCTTGAAACAAATTCAGACTTGAATAAATAATCACGGACCAACATTTTATTTAAAAATGATGATGATCCAATTTACTCCTGTAATGCACCGGATGAATTGAAGTGGAAAGTGTCGTTGCTGGGAACGAATCCTTTGTTCACCAATTCAAATGTTAGGATTCGTGGGCGTCAAGACAAAAAAAAATCAAATTATTCACACGCTTTGTCAGTTTAAGTCGATAGAATTTGCATGGATCGCCAAAAAAGTTTCATTAGTGAACGTGAATAACGATTAATACATTTCACAGAATCCAAACTTACGCCACTCTTAATTAATTGATACTTATGGCAGGGTCAATCGATGAAAAAACTGTTCACTGTGAAGAACAAACATTATATTATCATTTTGGAGGAGCAGCGTGCAGGAGAGCGGCGACAGTCGGACTGCAGCAGACGATCTCGCCGCCACAGGCAGGAGAGCGGCGACAGTCGGGCTGCAGCAGACGATCTCGCCGCCACAGGCAGGAAAGCGGCGACAGTCGGGCTGCAGCAGACGATCTCGCCGCCACAGGCAGGAAAGCGGCGACAGTCGGGCTGCAGCAGACGATCTCGCCGCCACAGGCAGGAAAGCGGCGACAGGCGGGCTGCAGCAGACGGTCTCGCCGCCACAGGAAGCCACCTGCTCCACAAGCTCTGCTGCAACAGCGCGCAAGGCTACGCGGTGTCACGCGAGGCTACGCGGGGCGTCAACTGCTTAGCGTAACCATGGTGACGATCGAATTGCTGCTCTGCTTGAGTTAAATGATGTGTTCCCTTGACATCGTACTTTCCTTTTCCGTGGGTCCATGTGACTTCTAATTCTGCAGAAAATATGACATACACAGAGAGTTCATACTTTATCTCATGGATTTGATAAGAAGCGTCTTTGTTTTAGATAAAAACTGCGGTCGTGAAGTCGCTCTGCTTTGAAGACGCTCTTGAGAAGTTCATGGAACTGTTTCATAACGTCCTGTGAAAACATAATAGAAGTTGAACATTAATTAATCAGTTAGAAGCAAGGTTGTCACTTTCATGGCCCTTGTTTCGATAACCCCGACTTCATATGCAAAATTTCAAAGTCGCTAGCTTGACATTGTCATGGATGGGAAAAATCTACAGGGTAATTCTGAATGATGGACCCAACTAAATAAATTCGTCTTTATTTAAATATAAATTAAAAACGAATAATTTAAACACCAATAAAAAAAAGATTAAATTTTTTAACCCATTGGCATCTTGATGTCCGAAACACTTTGAATCACTTGCAGAGCGTTGAGTAGGACGCATAGGAAATGGAGATCGGGCTCTACACTTCTGGCCACCGAGATCACCTGATCTCACCCCATGTGACTCTTTCTTGTGGGGTTACGTCAAGGAAGCTGTTTACGTCCTGCCTCTACCAGCAACTCTACGTCCCGCCTCTACCAGCAACTCTGTTTACGTCCCGCCTCTACCAGCAACTCTGATCTGAAGAACCGTATCACTGCTATGCGGTGCACTCAGTAACAGAAGATATGCTTTCTCGTGCGTGGGACCGGTTTGGCTGCCGTTTAGATGTTTGCCGTGAAGCATAAGTGAGATTTGCGGAAAATTTATAAATATGTCAAAAAAATTTTGAATCTTTATCTTTCCATTGTTGTATAAATTATTCATTTTTAATTTATGCTTGGATAAATACGAATTTATTAAATTGGATCCTAAATTGAGGATAGCCCATTGCTTTATTTCCAAGTTTTTTGGCAAGAGAATATTTTACTTTTCTCCTTAACTCTTGCAATAGTGGTGCTGCCAAACGGATTCATTATCAAATAAAAAACAATTAAATTTTAGTGATCATAACTAATCTGTCTTACGTAGCAGTAGTGTATTAATTTGGTATTACCAATTGCCGTCTCCGCTCGAGTCTCACTTCCTCAATGCCTGACGCTAATAACGGCTCATGCTAAACGAGTCAATAACGTCACACTCCTCGGTTATTACCGTCAAGAATTACGCGGAAGTTGGTTCTGTTGTTTGTAATGGGAATACCTTGGGAAAAACTAAACGGAATAGCGCAATAATTTCAAACAATTGGAGGGAGGATGTAAGTCAATTAAAGTTAGATTAAACTTGAATGGTCTAATATTGTATGAAACAGCGAATATTGCACCAACTGCGAACTAAAACCTTGTATATCACAGTTAGGGTAAAACATTAGCAGGCACAGACCATCTGACTGATCTAGAGAGACTGACATTATAAGTAAACTGGACAAATGGATAAAATTTTCCGGTTTGGTTGGAGACCTAACTCGTATTAAGAATAAATTCCTCAACAAAAGTCAACTATGAAATTAAAGGGAAACCCCAGCAATTTGAAGTAAGTTAGCGATTTTTCTTCTAGTTCCGAAGTTTTCTTGTTCGCTGATTAAGTTTTTTTCAATTTTGTGAGAACGAAAACAGAGGCTTGGTGATGTCTAATTTATATAAAATACAGGGTGGTTTGCGGCAACTTCCTGATTTGAAAGCCCAATAAAAAATATAGTAGAAATATCATTACAATATGAATTTTATTGAAAAAGACATTACCTGAATTTATATATCACTTAGTTTCAAAGATGACATGGGACAAATGACAGCCCCATTGTCAATGCATTCAGTTAGTCGATTTTTGAAGTTCCGTTCAGCTCGCTTAAGCAAGCTGACGGGTATGGACCTTATTTCCTTGAGAGGTGACCTTCTTTGGCCGGCCCGATTCCCTGATTTGGCTCCGTATCTTAAATTAATTGTTTACAATGACTGTCCAAGGACCCTACCTTATTTGAAGAACAACATACGCCAAGCCATCGCCAACATACTCGTCAATATTTTTCAGCGAGTTGAATGGAACTTCAAAAGTCGACTAACTGAATGCATTGACGATGGGGGCAGTCATTTGTACGATGTCATCTTCAGAACTAAGTTATACAAAAATTCAGGTAATGTTTTCTTTATTAAAATTGAAATTTTAACATATATCTTTACTAGTTCTTTTTATATTGAGCTTCAAAATCAGGAAATTTCCGTGAATCACCCTGTACTACGTTCCATTTCCTAATTATTCTCTCATAGAAAAACGCCACAAGCTTAGCGTGACAACCCTTGCCTCGAGTTCAAGTTCAGCGCACACAGCAGACTTCTGACCTGACCAAGCGTCAGTCGTTTACCAGCTGCGGTAGGTAGAGGGTGTAGGAGCTGCTGCGCGTCTGGTTTACTGAATGGCGTTTAGGATAAATCCATTTCCAAAACCCACACGTCGAATGAAATCCATGAAAAATATATTTTATTTTAGGTTTACATTTATTATGTTGGATTTTTGACGATATATGTGCAAATTTGAGAAGGAAATTATTTTTTTAATTTAATCACTGTAAGTGGTTGAATCGATCAGTATTCCCTTTCCCATTACGCTTGAAGTTATCGAAAGTATCACATTACTCGCAAATGACAAATATAAATAAATACCTTTGAGTCTTTTACCAGCTGTCACCGTCACCCAGTATACAAACGAAGTTACTTCGGAAGCCTGAATTTCTGAAATCAAGTCTGCATCGCTACGTCTTAAATGACAATCCGACCATAGCTAAGCAAGCGCACGACATACCTAACTTTCGCGCGTTTTCTGCTCTGCCATTTGCTTGAGTAAGAATTTGCGTTCTTTTGCACGTCTCAAAATATTTCTCAGTCAGCAGGGGTAATAGTTTCGAGTTAGTTTTTCTTAGCTAATTTTACTAGTGAAGAAATTTTCTCTAAAAAAACATTATAGATACCTGGATTTCGTTTCCGAAATAGTCCATTAAATAAGGCTGAAGAAGATGCAAGAATTATTTAGCTTGCGCCTCTAATGAATTTCTCCGAAGCCTGAATAGCTATTAATTATTATAAGCCATATCGTGTAAAGGTGAAGCAAACGCGCTTGGTGAGCATAGGTCGTGCAATACGGCAATATTCAATAGTCATTGCAGCTGTTGAAGAAATAGTATATCATAGTTGCTCAGACTATAAAGATACAAATCGACGTTTCCGAATGTCCCATTTTTCGATTTTTCGTTCCAGGTAAATCTTCCCTGCCCTGCAAAAGTAATTGGAATTATTGAATTAATACTTGTTTTTGAAAGGAACTAGGCATGCAAATGTTTAGATGTGTTCCTTGAGCTGTACTTTCAGTCATTTTCTGAAAATTTGACAAGTGATCATAATTAGGTTAAGGCCTCCATCTTGCATCTGCAGACGACTTTCTCCAGGCATGGGATTATCCACCGTGGAAGCTCAGGTGAGTTGTCTTCTTAAATACGTAAAGGTGCCTGTACTCGGGGACAGTACTGGCGGCAAGTAGATCAGAAAAATGCCAAATGTCTGCCGCTTGGTGTCTATCCCGCAAGTAACTTAGTATGCTTAGACATGAGACAAGTTTAAGGTGCCGCCGTGCCGGTATCTAGTCGTTACCGTCACAGCGGCACCTTAAACTTGCCTCGTGTCTAAGATTACTTGCGGGATATACACCAAGCGGCAGACATTTGGCACTTTTTTTGATCTACTTGCCGCCAGTACTGTCTCCGTGTACAAGCACCTAATTAGATATCACCGCCTTGAACTGGAGTAAAGTATCGTTGTGATGCAACCAAGTAGATTAAAAAAATTATGTCGTGCTGTTCGAATTATTTGGTGTTCAGACTTTCGCGGTACAAGTTTACACGAGGTGTTTGCCAATTGAATTTTCTTATGACATTTTCGTGTTCACGGTCAGAAAGATATTATAAATTTGAATATCATATGGTCCTTCCGGCTCCGGCTCCAATTTCTTGTAGCACCTTCTGAAAGGCATTAATGTTCTTCTGCTTGCTCAATTTTAATTTGAAAAAGAATTTACAATTCCAAAAATAAAGAGAATGCAAAAACAATTTCACAAAATTCACCATATCTTTGTGGAAAACAACCTTTTATGGGTTGCCGTCCGGCATATTGGCGGATAGCAAAGGCGTTGAGAATGTAATACAAATAAACAATCCGTACTTCACTCTCGGCGACCAAACCGTATAAGTTGTTTAAAGTTTTCAGACTCTTCCCCTTGGAAGATAATTCATTAACTTTTTTTATCCAGAGCAAATTTTTAATAAGTACTCTGAGCCCTAATTCTGCGACGTATATTTTTCACTCCCTACCAAACAATCGTAAGCAGTGAAGGTTTTTTTCAGCATTAGAACAGTTCATTCATGAACTCATGTAAGATGACGAGTTCACCGAAGAAAAAATTCGTAAATTAATAAATGTCTTGCAAAATTATCAGAAAATCTAAATTAAAAAGTTATATTACTTCAATGGTTTGAGAAACTCATTTTCCTTAAATTTCTAAAGCGACCCTTAATTTTGAGTGAGAAAGATGGACCGATCAGGACTTGAGGGAGAATGATGGACCGATCAGGGCTTGAGTGAGAATGATGGACCGATCAGGACTTGTGTTAGAATGATGGACCGATCAGGACTTGAGTGAGAATGATGGACCGATCAGGACTTGAGTGAGAATGATGGACCGATCAGGACTTGTGTTAGAATGATGGACCGATCAGGACTTGAGTGAGAATGATGGACCGATCAGGACTTGAGTAAGAATGATGGACCGATCAGGACTTGAGTGAGAATGATGGACCGATCAGGACTTGAGGGAGAATGATGGACCGATCAGGACTTGAGGGAGAATGATGGACCGATCAGGACTCAAGGGAGAATGATGGACCGATCAGGACTCAAGGGAGAGTAAACTGTGTTTCTGTCGGATGACCTGTACGATAATTCGACTGATGTGCGGTCTGATTAGAATTGTTGCATGTCTTCAGCATTAAAAATTCTTCATCGTTCAGATAAAAATCGGATTCGTGTATATTAGCAGTAACAAAAGGTCGTCTCAGAGCAATGTTCAGTGGTCGCACTTATTAAGATGCTACAAACAAATAGTACTAAATCATACAAATTCAACTTTTTGATATAGCGCGTTATTAATTATATATGAAATGTTTATTGTACTTTATTTTTCTTCGGGTTAATAATTCATAACAAATCTCCCATGTTCTAGGTTCCTGGCAAATTTTATTGTTATGAACGAAATTTTTCTTTTGCAAATTAAGTAGTTTTGTATGCAGCGGAAAGTTGTGAAAGGAAAACCGTTCCTATATGGTCAAGGAATTAAATTATCAAGTACCTCTAAATTTAATACGAAATCTAATAAGTTAATTGGCTGAGGCCTTTTAATTTATGAAGCCGGCATGCGCCACGAAGCTTCCATTTAGGAGATGATTTAATGACGATGATGTTTTGGAATGATGATAAACATTTTTCGTTGGTCATGCAATTAACTCAGCTCTTTGGTTCGAGTTCTTTAAAAAAATAAATATTGTTCTCACACACATGGCATTCGTTACTGAAAGAAGACTTGTAACTTAATTTTGCCTTCACTCACGAGTTTTCGTTCCTACGATTAATTTGGTATAATTATTCGAATGCGTTGTGAAGATATTCTTAATGATGTGATTTTAATGAAAGTCTTGAAAAAATCATATTTAAAAACTAAACAATTTTTGCATACTATTTTAAATTCACATTTCTTGCTATCATTTTCTTTTGTACTTCCGTTGCAAAAATTTTATTTAATGAAAGGGTATAAAGGCCATCTGGGTGTGCTCTTAATAAAAATGAAGGTATTGAAGCTAGTGATTGCACATAACTGATGTATCTAATGTTACCGTAGTATAATTTATCACATCAAATTCAAATTCATACATTATAAAGACGCAAATGTTCAGGATCTCTGACCGCAAACTAAAAGATTTGTGGTCAGGAACTTACAGAATATCAAACATTGCAATCCCGTAAATAATTTTTTAAGGCCGAACTATTTTTAACATAATGAGTGGTGATTATAGCGACCATAAACGGCTGCTGTTTAAAGCGACGTGTCGATGACACATTATGCAGGCGTCGGGACATGAGGCGAGCAGCGCCGTGGATTTGGGCGGAGCATCCGGTGTTGCGGTTGCCGTAGTGGCGGCAGTTCCGGCGCCGCAGCCGGACAATGCGAGCATGGGAAGTGTCACGCTCTGGCGCGCTGCAGGTACAGGCGGGAATTTCACGCTCATCACTGAGCTCTTAATGAACTGCCAAGCTCAATGAACTCTACTGAATAAAGAGGCATCTAGTGTGCAGACGAACGAGTGTTGCAGCCTGCATCATCGTTCACATCCACCATTTTCAAAATCAGCGGACGAACAGCCTGCTCTCTACTCAATTATGGATCTAATGATTGAAAGTAAAAATTTAAATCAGTCAACCTATAATCAGTTTTTATAAATTTGTTAAATAATTAATGAGCTCTGTGTAGCGTGGCGTGTGCGCCCTAAATTTATTTGTCGCCAAGTTATTAATATCAAAATAACCTAACGGATATTATTTTGTGTGAGTTGTCAATATAATATAATATAATATAATATAATATAATATAATATAACATATAATATAATACATAATGGCTCGTAAAATAAGCCACAAGCCTTGCAACTAAAACTCGCTGATTTGAATCTCTGTACCCGATACGCCCTCTCTATGTGGTTAGTAATATGTTTATGATTAAAGTATTTATAAGGAGTGGCCAGTGACCTGTTAACGCCCAGTTGTAAAGCCAACAGCGGTTGTGTTAATTGAGCAGCCTTGTCATTAAATTGCATAATTAAGCTGTTGAAAGCTTCATGCGTTAGAATTGCTGGTAACGACGAGAGCGCCAGCCTCACATCTCCATTATCGAGGATAACCGCAAACTTTTCCAATGAAATTACTATGAATTTATTACTTGTTTTTAAAGGTATGTAAATGTTTAATTCGCGAAATAATTAAACTATTTAAATGCGAGGATAATCTATCTACTATGTACAGTTAGGCCCTGTAAAACTAATTGAAATAATAACGTCATGTCAATGCACGTAACATGAAAATCATTTTCGGTTTCATTGTGAAAGATATTGCTTGTCGTACATACTATTTTTGTCCATGAATCATTAAGTTCCGGTGAATAGCGTAGGTTTATACCGAAGGATCATCTAGCAGTAAGTCTCATGCGTACGATCTGTGCAATGCTCCTCCCAGTGCCTACCGTCTGACTTATATCGCTGATTTACTGCCAACCTCGCCAATTAAGCATGGCTCATGTTTTAGCATTTATTTAGCACTTAATTGTAGCCATGATGGAAGGTGGGAACGCTGCGTCGAGAACGCAACGGCACGAAACTGCCGAACTTTAATCGTGAAATCAAGTGCACTGCACCAAGCTGTTCGTAGAGTGCGGAGATGCGACGCTTGCATGGAGAAATAATTGAGATCTACTCCTAACCCGAAAGACTATTATCGTATACTTGTTTAAAATATGTATATCTACTTAATTCTTTATCCCTGAACTCTAAATTTGAGACAATTACTTTTATTATGTCAAATATTTACAAATGTCAAATATTTATAAATTATATGTCAATATAACATAAAAAATGTGAAAAAAACTTCGAATAATTAGTATCAGAGTTGCGACACTGATTCGATCCCTGAATAAATAACTGCAAGATAATGAATTTCAATGGACACGCAGGTAAACGACCATTTTTACCACGTTTTTCTTAGGCATGTTTGCTCAGTGGTGATTCCAAGTTCTGAAGTAATGTCGTGATGTGCGTCGATGTGAACGCAACAGAACGGCTGATGTAAGACAAATTTCGGTGCTTCTTTTATTGACATTAGAACTTTCGTTTACGAGTTAAATTTCCGCGAACTTTAAGCCATGCGCTCTTGCAGCTGCCACAGCGTCTGAGATGTGCACGGTGAGGATATACGCTGATGGTCTAACGAGCTTCAACACTGTTAGAAAAATTCCCGTTAACGGTATTACCGGCGTTTCAGTGGCCGGTCGGCACGTGAAAAGAAACACAGTGTCACCATTTTTATTCCAATTTAACACTAGAAATCCGTAAAACATCTGATTAAAACGGCTAAACAGTTTATTTTCACGGTGCGACCGGCCACAGGAACGCCAGTGGGACCGTTTTTTCACCGTTTTTTCTAACAGTGAAGAGAGACAATGGCTGCTTGACTTTTTTGATAAAATCACAAGATGAGAGCTCGAGCGCGCTGATAGGGATAACCGGCGGAGCACAGCGGCCTCAAACCGGCAGAACGGAACGAACCTTGAACGCCTTGCAAGGATGCGCAGTCGCGTGACCTGTTGAAGCCTAAGATCATGTC